GAGTGATGCTTGGAAAAGGTAGAGTTGCCCTAATTATTGACTCAAGAAAGCTTAAGGAGTTGTGCTAGTGCGTGTAGACAAGTATTTTTTTTTTGCAAATCCTTGCATCTAAACAAAAAAGTTTACTTCATGAAGGTCTGATTTCTTACAAAATGGCTTTTATAAGGAAAAAGATGAAACAGTTTTCTGCAACTAAACATGAAAGAATTTTTTTTATTTGACGTTATAAAATATTTGGCATGAAGATTCAACATTTTGCAACTGAAAGTGTAAGAAATTATTATCGAGTGTCCATATTTTAAGATGAAACGCTGTCACTATTTAATTGATGTGAAAATCACTTATGTCAAAAGTAACTTGTTTCTAAATGGTATATTATTACATTTTATTTTGTTTCTTGTAAGTTGATATTATTGGGTACGATGGAAAGTAGTTGTTTAAAGGAAATTTTTTGTTATTTTCATTTTGGTGGAGATATTGTAAAAGATATGCATGGGACAATGCATTATGATGGGGGGAGTTGTAATGGAAGAATGATTAGAGAAGGAATGTCTCTTGAAGGACTTATTAGATTGATTTCATCATGCTTGAATTATGATTTAAATGGAATAGAGTTGAAGTACACAGTAAAGTTTGATTGCAATGCTCTTTTAAACCTTAAAGATGATAAAGGGATAAATCAATTAATGAAATTGAATGATAATTTTTCTCATATGTATATCATTGGGAAGATACAGTAAAGTACAGAGGCAATAAGAGATTCAATTGATAGGTAAGTTTCTTTAATAGTTGCATAATTAATATTATGCTAATATGAATATGGATGGTAGTAATAAACATGATTTGAATGAAAATGTAGAGCAGGATGTTCAACTAAGAATTCACATGCTACACAAGATCTTGAAGTTCTACCATGTGTAATATAAAGTATTTTAACACCAATGCCCAAGCTAAATGCAACAAAGTGAAAGGATTTGCTAGTAGGACCTGGGCAGATTTTTACGAGTGCTAATGATTATAGACAAGTAATCTACAAGTATAGTATTGCACACAAGTTTGAATATAAATTTATGAAGAACAACACAAATAAAATAATTTCAGTTTGCAAGGCAAAAGGATGCTAATGGAAGATAACAGCATATTCATTAAGGAAGTCTATACCCATGCTTCATGTAACAACTTTCAAGAATGAGCACTTACATTTTGCCTATGAAGACCTTGAAGTTTCTTATAGTACAAGGTGCACACTGACTTCGTCTATAATTGATGACGTAGTAAGGTCTAATATAGAAAAAAGACCTAATGAAATTAAAGCTGACATATATAGAGACTATGGCATAAGTCTAACTTATTGTCAAGCTTTAAGAGAAAAAGAGAGGGCATTGGTAGAAATAAACGGGCTTCCTGACCAATCATATATGCTTGTTCCTTGGTTGTGTAGTAGACTAATGGAGACTGATGCTGATACTATAGCAAAATGGGTGGCTTTTGAGAATAATAGATTTAAATGTTTATTTATTGCATATGGTTGTTCCATTAAAGGATTCTCGTTTAGAGCTAGGCCTATTTTATATGTGGATAGATGTTTCCTCAGTAGTCCTTATCGGGGCACCTTACTGGCAGCTTCAACATACGATGTCAATAATGAGTTGTTTCCATTAGCTTTTGCAATAGTTAGGAGTGAAACTCATAATGATTGGACTTGGTTTCTATAAAATATTAAAGATATCCTTGGTTCGCTACAAGTAATTATTGTTTCTAATAGAAATAATGCTATTATTAGTGCTGTTAGAGCCATATTTGGTGGTGATAGACATGCATTTTGCTATCAACATGTTAAGGAGAATTTTAGCTCTAAGTTTAATAAAGTTTGTAGGGGAATAGGAAGGAACAACAAAGAAGAGGCACTAAAGTTGCTTGATTACATTGCCTATGCAAGGTATGAGCATGAATTTCATATAGCCATAGGAAATTTGAGGATGTTCTCTCTACAATTAGCAAGATGGGTTGAAAATCAAGGCGATGTTGATCGGTGGGCACTATTATTGTTCCCATTTCAAAGATGGGATAAGATAACAACCAACTTGGCCGAATCATTCAATGTATGGATTCTTGAGGAGAGGAGGCATAATATATGTGTTCTTATAAATGAGCATAGGGACAAGCTGAGTAAGAAATTTTTTGCAAGTAAGGCATCCATGAGTAAGTAAAAAAGCATAGTTGGTCCCAATGTTGAAGCAAAGTTGAAGGAAAATATTTTCAAGGTAGAAGTTATGATAGTTTAGCTGCATGGCTCACATATTGCATTAGTTCAGACACTGTGTGGAGATGTATGTGTGAATCTGATATTAAGGGAATGCACATGCAAAGTTTGGCAAATGTCTAGAATTCCTTGCCCACATGCCTATGCAGCCATTAAAGAAGTGCATGGTAATGTGTATAACTATGTTGAGGAATGTTATCTTCACAGCTCACAGGAGAAAATATACAGTGGCACTATGCATCTTGTTGAGACCCATGACATGCCAAAGCCAAATACATTGATAGTGTCTCAGCTCATGAACCAAACCTTTTTGCTGCCTCCTAGAACATCTCGACCAGCTGGCAGACCTCGTCGTGTGAGGATCAAGTCTCAACATCAATAAAAGAAGGTTTATCATTATCATTGTTCTCACTGCCATGAAGCAAGTCATATGCAGAAGAGGTGTAAGAATCCAAATTCAAGTTGATGTTATTGTAAATGAGTTACCACATGAACTTGAATTTGGGTGACATAAACATAATGGTTGTTTTAGGGGTTTTTTAGGCATATAGCAACCCCTATTTTGTAAATCCAAGTTGATGTTTCTATAATATGAGATTAGATCAACTTGGATTTAGTTGACATGTATAAGTTTATATAGATATACATTAGTAGTATTAGGGGTTTTTTTTTGGTACATAGTAACCCTTCATTTGTAAATCCAAGTTCATGCCTTTATGTATGTGGACAGTTGATATGTGCAGATGCATTAGATGAATTAATACATGTTTCTTACATGTACAGTTCGTATCTTCTAGTTCCTCGATCCAAAATTTCGTGTACGAGTTGCCACTTTTTTGTAAGGAAGTTGTAAAATTTGGTATCTAAATTGCAAAATACTAGAATGATGTCCTAAAATATTTAACTCTTGTAGAATTTAATAGGTATTCGATCCAAAATTTAGTTTACAAATTGCAACATGTTCCTAAGGAAGTTACAAACTTTGGTGTCTCAATTGCAAATTACTAGAGCTTTGTCATAAAAAGAATAATTCTTGTAAGAATTTAATAGTTCTTCGATCCAAAATTTCGAGTACAAGTTACAAATTCTTCCTAAGTAAGTTACAAAGGTTGGTGTCTTAGTTGCAAAATACTGAAACATTGTCCTGAAAGAATAACTCTTACAAGAATATAACAATTCTTCGATCCAAAATTTTGTGTATGAGTTGCAAATTTTTCCTAATGAAGTTGCAAACTTTGATGTCTCAGTTGCAAAATACTGGAACAATGTACTAAAGGATTTAACTCTTGTAAGAATTTAATAGTTTTTCGATCCAAAATTTAGAGTACGAGTTGCAAATTTCTCCTAAGGAAGTTACAAAATTTGGTGTCTCAGTTGCAAATTTCTGGAGCTTTGTCATAAGAATAACTTGTAAGAATTTAATAGTTCTTCAATCCAAAATTTAGAATATAAGTTGCAAATTATTTCTAAGGATATTGCAAAATTTAGTTTCTCACTTGCAAATTATTGGAGCTTTGTCGTAAAGAATTTAACTCTTCAACGAATTTAATAGTTCTTTGATCCAAAATTTTGAGTACCAGTTGCAAATTGTTTCTAAGGACATTGCAAAATTTAGTTTCTCAATTGTAAATTACTGGAGCTTTGTCCTAAAGGATTTAACTCTTCTACAAATTTAATAGTTCTTCAATTCAAAATTTGGAATATAAGTTGCAAATTATTTCTAAGGACATTGCAAAATTTGGTTTCTCACTTGTAAATTATTGGAGCTTTGTCGTAAAGGATTTAACTCTTCAACGAATTTAATAGTTCTTCGATCCAAAATTTTGAGTACCAGTTGCAAATTATTTCTAAGGACATTGCAAAATTTGGTTTCTCAATTGCAAATTACTGGAGCTTTGTCCTAAAGGATTTAACTCTTCTACAAATTTAATAGTTCTTCGATCCTAAATTTTGAGTACCAGTTGCAAAGTTTGCCTGACAAAGTTACAAAATTTGGTCTCTCAGTTGCAAATTACTGGAGCGTTATCCTAAAATAATAACTTTTTTAAGAATTCATTACTTACCCTACCCAAAATTTTGACACATAGTTGCGACATTGTCTATATATAATTGATTTGGTTGCTTGTTCAGCTTGCATGATAGTTGAAAAGAGTGTTTTATTTAGAAAATTCCTTGATTTATTTGTTACATTGAATTGGAACACCATATGATTAAAGTAATATAAGTAGCAGCCCGGCTGTGTCAATTGGCAAGAAATATATGTTATTTTAATTTATTGAAAATAATAAGTATTAATTAGTACGTATGATATAAAATCTAAATGGAGATGTTGGCAATGTTGCTCAGACAAAATCATAATTTAGTTAGGTAAAAATGCATGCATGTGACCAAATTTTGATCAAATTACATGTTTTGGATACAAAATTAATCAAGCATATCCCATAAAGGCCAGCCTAATTTTGTGGCCAAAAATTCTATTCTTATACACCCCACAATGTATTGGTAAAAATCTTCTTATAGGCCCTAAAATTTGGATATAGCTTCAAATTCAATTGAGCATGTCTTCACACCCATTAAAGATTAATGATGAAAACATGTCAAAGATTAAAAATTTATCTACACTTCTTTCCTACCCTCTTTGGTCGGTTAGTTATTGAGACAGAGGAAAATACTTTGTTTCTTACTTCATTTCTCGTGTGATTTACCAGCCATCACACCACATCCACCCTAAACTATCTCAGTTGTTCCTAAAAAAACATAAAGAAAGTTTAAGTTTCACATTGATAATTGGAAAAAAATATTAGAAAGATTGTGGATCACATATGTTTGAAAAGTCCTCCATGGTTAGTCCTCCTTTTCTTCTTCTACCATCCCATTCTGCACAATACTTTATCACATATACCCCACAATCATCTCTACAAATATGAGCAATTCAGGTATGGCAAAATGTCTACTAGAAATGAATACATTAAAAGGTAGTTATTTTCATAGATAGTTACTTACACATTACTCTGTTTGGGAAGTTCTTCAAATATCATCTCCATCTGAAAATCCTCTTCATATTTCTCCGGGTTACATGCTTGTAACAACTCAATTATGCTAGTTCTCTACAAATAGTTTCGGAGTTAGATAACCATTCCCATTTAAAAATTTAAGTAACCTAAACACTAATAAAGCATACCATAAATCCAGCCATCATCTTCTTCTCTTTAAATAACTTCCTAGCTAATGAATCAAGGATGAAAAATTTGTCATTTTTCAAATCAGCACAATAGCAAAACCAGTGATTAAACACAAGCATGGGTAAGAAAAGGTAATCACAATTTATAAGGTTATATCCAAGTTGATCACGCATGACCATCTTTGCATCCTCAAAGATAGACCATCTTAACTTTTTATCCCTTAGGTTGGCCATAAATTTTGAATCAAATATGTACCTTTGCACCTTCCCTTCATGAAGTTGCTCACCAACCATCACTTTTGCGACCATGCTCATAACCTACAAAGAACACATCCAATACTCAATGTGCTATCCAATTAAGCAACTAATTAATTAAAACTATCAGACATATAGCTGTACTTATCCATTTTTTAGGACCAAGACTTTGGCATTCGGCCCTATTTAAGTAGTAATTGTACATCTCAACGACATACCTAACAAAAATGTGTTATTGTATCAAACATAATGCACCATGATTATCAAAAAGTAATATCACATTACTTACTCTTCACCCTCTGCTTGATTGGTCTGCTTAGTGCAATATTCATATATTTATTGTTCTTTTGTAATTCTCCCTTGTATTGGTTCTTTCAAAAAAGGTGACCAATTTACCTCAACCCTTTTCCTCTCAAACCTTCGAATCATTAAGCTTTCATCTATTCTCCTCCTCTTCTTACCATCTTGTCTTTTATCACTTTCTTCCTTACTATCGGAGCCTTCATCTTCATCTTCTTTAGATCTAGCTCCAGCTGCAGTTTCATGTCCATCATCATCCTCATCTTCATCCCCATCTTCATCCCCAGCTTCATGTGCATCTTCAGCTTCATCTTCGCCCTTGTCTCCATCTTCATCTTCTTCTTCAGCTTCATTTTTATCTCTACATTCCTCTTCCTCCACATCTTCTTCACTTGGTTCGCCAACTCGCATGATAGCTTTACTATCAAATATTTAAAGCTGGTTAAGACTTTATTACAACTTCAGCACTTTACTTGCAAATGTATTGGCATATTGCAAAAAGTCTTCATATAACTCCCTCACACCCTAACCAAGTTTCAACACCAAGCTTATTAAACAAGTGAAAACCAAAACATAGACAATAAATTATAAACATTTATATACTGGGTGAGTTATCGTTGCAAGTGGAGGTAAAACTTCAGACACTTCATTAGCCTGTCCACTATAAAGAATGCCATGGATGCTTTCTTTTTCCAACTTAACCTGTTTTTGCACCATGTGTTGGTTCCACAAATGCATCACAGGCGTTCTACCATCTACTGACAGTATTGGGCCCAATGGAAAGTGGTACATGTAAAATATCTGCACCAGAAGGATAATTATAATCTAATTAATAACAAATAAATTAGAACAAAATATAGAAGGATTTTAAATAGTCTATACCATTAAGAAAAATAAGCATCCTCCTACATTCTTCTTCCTTCATCCACTCCTTAATGCTGTCTTATAAGTCAAAATTTCTCTAATAAGCTCTGACAATACAAAAGATGACCAGTCATATTCTTGAACATTTTTCTTCCTACTTAAAATTTTAATACTCCTCATACTAACAGTTGTACTTATTGTGGGACAAAGAAATGTTTTAAAAGTGAATAACAAAAACATCGTTTCAAAATTTTTTTCTGCCTTGTCGAATATGACCATACTCTTCAACTTAGTGAAGGGTTTGCCAAGATAATTGTTCTTTAATGCTTGAGATGCTTCGTTGTCATCATCTAAAAATGCAGCTTTCCCACTATAAGGCACACCTAAGATAGTGTGCATATCCTTTCCATCAACACTTAATTTTTTCCCTCTAATTCCAAGTGTTGAGATTGGTGTGTCAAAAGCAGTAATTACTTGTTCACATAACTCTCTCGGTAGTTTATTAAATTTAAAATCCAAGAGAGATTGGAACCCCATTTTCTTGACCTTAGTACATAACCTTTTATGTTTGGATATGTATTCCACAACTTCCTTGAACTAGCCAGGAGAGCAACATGTATTAAATGAAACCTATAAACTAAGAGGAATAATATAACACCATACAATGCATAACAATCATACTAAAAAAACTCATCAATTTAAAATAAATACAAGTGAGTGATACTGTTACCGTGGAACAAGATACTGATTCCTTGCCTTGTCCATCTAATAAAGCCATGTTTTATATCTTTCTTGTTCAGCATTTGATAACTTTCGCTAAGTTTCTCTCATTGAGTCATTGGCTTCTATAAGACCACTAAATTTTCCTTTATTTTTTTCAAGAAACTCTTTCTTAAAGTTATCGTATCCAGACTTCCTTTTTGTTGTAGCTTTCTTGTTCTCCATATTTTCTTGGTGTCTCAGATGTAAATTACTCTTTTTGGTTTGCAACAAAAGCAAACAAAATAAATTCAGCCAAATATTACACCCAAAACACACCACAGACATATACACTGACATGGAATAGTGAACATGCAAGGTGGCAGCTTTTAATTCAGCCAAATTCCCTCCATTTTGTCCTATTGTCTGCCTTTTACTTTTCATACTATTTAATTGATTTGGATATCACAAAAATGAGGAAACGCTGTGAGTGGTCAGCATTAAAAATATCAAGCCACTATCATTACATATAAGCTAAACTAAAGGACATGTATACGCAGTGATTACAATCCCAAGCCACATCATTACAAATATGTTTCAAGTGCTTGGCAAAACTAAAGAATGCACATACCAAACACCACCTAAAAGATTCTTCATATTTCAATATATCTTATCATAGTTTGGCTACTATAATTATAAATGGGTAGGGTACCAATGCACACATTATCTATCTCATACTGTAACAAACTTAGAACCTTACATAAAAGGAAGCAAAACAAACATAGAAGACTACATAGAAGATATAAACAAGAACCAGGTCTTACAAAATGCTACTCGAATTGGAAACACCATATTGATATGCCATATTTTGTTATAAAAATTAACACCTAAATAAAGGTATTTTACAAAATCTCCCATACATATTCCCACAACTTAAATTGGTTTATCTTAAAACAAATGAGTTTATTCAAACGTTTAACCAAATTGATAGTTTAACTTAAAGAAAATCAAAATGATCATTCCAGTTAATCTGCGTCAATAAATATTCATTGTTCTTGCATCAAATTCTCTATGCAATCCAAGTTTTTCAACCATGCATTTATAAGCGAATAATGTGTGCTTAAATCCATCTTCCTTTTTCACTGAGTTGAACATTTCAAGAGCTTTAAGTAGGTCCTTTTGAGATCTTACAACAACAGCAACATGTTTAGGAAGTAAAGTAGGACTCATTCCAAGATGACACTATGAATAATTTTATGTATGATAATCAAATAAAATCAATCTACCAAACATGAGTAGTTCTTTACTTGTGCATGTACATTAAACCTTCAAAGTTACACATATAAAAACAGAAAATTATTTTAGTAGCAGGACATAAGCCTACTAGCTTGCTTCTTTGTGCCCTGACAAACAAGCTTCCCACCTAATTATCACCGATGCAAGTCCCAAAAAAAATTGGTTAAAATTAAACTAATAAATTGAAAGAAAGTAAGCAGTAACAAGAAGAATTTTATTAATAAAGCCTAGCAAATTTGCTCATGGTTAAAGGGCATAACAAACATGCATGTCTACAAGAAGAGAGAAGTTAAACTTTTGCGAAGAGAAATTGAGAAAAACACAAACAAGTTTTGGGCGAGAAAGATTACACTAACAAAACCTAGAAAATCACCTTCTTTTCTTTGATAGTTAAAAAAATGTCTCTTTTTGTAATAAATTCCCAAAACTGTTTCTTTTTGTGTTAAATTCCTGATCCAAAAAAGGATCTTCAGTAGGATAAACACTCACAGGAAACAGGAATAAAAAATGCACCTTAAGTTATAGGGAGTGAGAGTGATGCTGGTGAAGGCTGGCCGTTTTATGGCTTGATGTTGCCAGTCAACACCGAACAAAGAGGTGGGGACTAGACACTCCTTTCAAATAGAAGAGGGATGTTTCCTCCCCCTCGGGGGGTGGGGTTTTTTTTATGTTGGTGTGGGGAGAGGCTGGGTCCAGGAAGGAAGAGGAAGATAAATTCACTGAACTACTCATGAAGAAGCAGAACAGATTGATAAAGAGATATTTGTATGAAATTGCCTAAAAGAAGTGAAGCAGATTGAAAATTTATTTCCATCCATTGAATATTAAAATATTTGCATGCATTGGTAAAGAGAACTTAAATATTGTCAACATTTCCATGGATTGAAAAATTATTTTCAAAGAAGAAGCACAACAGATTTGCACAGCCGAGTATTAGTAAATTGTACACTAAAATGAAGTGTATAAAAAGGAAGTTTCTTTTCCTAAGAATCCTCATAGGCATTCGATTTCTAAGCATTTAGTGAAGAGAGATTCAAAAAGCCAACAACTTAAAGAAGACACTAATGACAAGTGAAAGACACATCCCTAAGGAAATAACACCAAGTATTATAATCCCCATAGCACGTGAAATAATAAACGAGTTGATTTAGGACAACAAGCACACAATACTTTTTGATTCCTAGAAATGAACCTTAGACCCTAACCACAAGTCATTAATTTTCTAATTAGGGGAAGGCCTACGAAAAGCTTAACAAGAAGCCTCTTCAGTTTAGGTCTCAATTAATTTTCTACACAGACAACTTGAAAGAACGAAAGTTATTATTTGATCATTATGAGAGGCATTTTGATTCGGTAGAAAAACCAGGACACCAGGACAGGAAAATCATTTATGAAAACTATAAATTTTAGACGATCAAATACTCACAGTCGTGCCCATTTGCCAATTTTTTTTGTTTTGTTTTTGCTTTTGCTGAAAATTTTGACCTGCCTCTAAGCTGGGATTTGGGATCTAGGTCCTGAAGTCCCAACAAATAATAAGGGAAAAAAATACACATATTCAACAGAAGCAAAACAAATCAGGTATAAACCTAAGAGATACAAGGGTTTGTGTGTCACTAAGAATGTCTCTTCATGTCAGGTCTCCAAAAACATTCTTCATGAAATTCTCATCAGAAGAACGAAAGTTTATTCAACTCAATCCTTATCAGAGACAAAAGCAAATCACATAAATTCAGAACAAGCACATCCTAAGAAATATTCATAATAAAAGAGTGGTAGAAAAATAGCAACAAAACCCCACGGGCACATTTCATAGCATATAAGTTCTAGGAACTTTCAGGAAGAAGAACAACATAGTGAAGCCATAATACTAGTTTGGATATACCTCACTGAGCGAGTAAGATTTAAAGATTTGAGACATGCATACGAACTATAAATGGATAAAAAGAGAGTTTTCCTATATTAATATAATCTGCCTTTAGCCAAAAAAGAAGAAGAGAGATTTAGGTGTATAAATCTGAACCTTAATGGCAAAAACCTTACCCCTGGCTCTCTATAGTTGTTATCGCCAAAATCTGAGCCCTCGCCACCGATTTTCCCTTACCTCTGTCACCGCCGCCAATGTTTGCCTCTTCTCTTTCACGTGTTTAACTTTGAGTTGCCGGCTACGCATGCCACCCCTAGAAACATCACTCCCCTCTAGCCCAACCAAGCTCTCGTTCACCCTATGTAACTGCAACCTCAATTCAAGGTAGAGAAGCTTTCCTCCGATCAATCAATTGACATAGCTCCTCGCTAGGGCAGAGAAGATCAGAACAGAGCTCGTCGCTAAGGCAGAGAAGAGAGCTCGTCATACACATGGGATCTCGTCAGCAAGGTAGAGAAGAAATCGAGCTTTTTAAAGTTACTTCAAGAAGGCTGAAGGGAACTCGTTCAGATTAAACAACGCTGACCTAGAGAAGATAGCTTCGCGTCTCACACTAGGACTTGTTCAGGCAAAGAAGAAAATAAGCTTTCACTTGAAGAAGGGTATTTCAGTCTTTTCTTATGACATCAAAATACCACTTAAGGACTCTGGGACTTGATTGGCCTTTTAGAATTAGTTGAGACTTAACTGGTATAAAATTGGTCCTTTAGGACTTCGTTGTCATTTTCCCATTAATTAATTATATATAATTTTAATAATTATTAATTTACTTAGTTATTAATTACTCTCTCCATCCCAAATTATAAGACATTTTTAGGTAAAATCTCATACCAATAAACCTCATTAAATACACCTAACAACCTTATCTTTCTAAAATAAAAATATAAAATTTTAAAAATACCCATTATTTAATATATTAAAAAGAGAAGAAATAGAAATTAATTATAGAGAGAGAAAGGGTAATATTGAAATTGGCACATTTAATGAGACCTTAATCTACCCAAAGTGTATCATATTTTAGGATAGAGAAACTACTTCAAAAGTGCCCTATAATTTAGGACGAAGGAAGTATTATTTTTATTAATTATTCTTCAATTACTTAATGATTAATTATTTATTTTTTAAAATGTATTTAATTTTCTTATTATTGATAGTTAATTATTGTTATTATTCAATCATATATATTTTTTAATACAACTCTGTTATACTTAATATAATTTAAAAGTAATTAATATTAGGGTTAAAGTTTAATTTTATCCATATACTTATTTTTTAAGAGCACTGGACACCGTATATTCTTTAGTTAGGCAATTTTTTTCCTGAAGTATTTTTTTGAGATCCAAAAATACCCTTATGTGAGGAAATTGTTAATTCTGCCATTATATGCTGACGTGGCATATGCGTGGGGCCCACACATAATGATAGATAAGACTCTAACCATGTCATTTGGTACTAATTTGCCCTTAAATTCTTTTTTCAAAAGCATTGAGCATACTAAAGTCTTTTCTAGAAACACTGGGTACCTTGAAATTATATTAAAATAAAATTTAATAAATATTGCCAAAATATTAAATATTTTCCCATTTAATAATTTAAATATTATTATTTATATTCATTCAAAAATTCTAAATTACTTTTTAAATATTAATAAATCAAACAACCATTTTATAAATTTATAGATAATTTTTTATTTTTTATATATCGATCTTTAATCTTCTTTTTGAGATAGTGTTCAAATTAATACGATTTTTATGGTGATGGAACTTACTTATATTTTAATATTGGTTAAGTTGCTTAATTTACTTAGTCAACTAATGATCTTCCTCTAAAATATTTCACCACGCCAATTTAATACTCTTTATACGTTGTAGTGTTAGAAGTAAAACAAAAAATATGACAATCAGGACCAATAAAATGATAATAAAAATATTTATTTGAAAGATATTGCTTATTCCATTAACATGTTGGAAAAAGTTACTTTACAAGAAAAAAAATGAAGAGATGAGAAGAAAAAATTCCTTTAATCTAAAGGTCCATTCCCTTCATTTTTAATGTAAAATTGCAAAATATTAAGTTGGGTGGTGTAATATTTTGAATAATAATATTTAAATTATTAAATATTAAGATACATAATATTTTAATAATATTTATTAAATTTTATTTTAACAAGACTTTAAGGTGCCTAGCAATCTTAGAGAAAAATTTTAGGGTGCTCAACGCTCTTAGAAAAAGAGTTCAGGAGCAAATTAACACTAAAGAATATGGTTAAAGTTTTATATGTCACTGTGCGTGAGCCCCACACACATGCCACATCAACAAAAAATAAAAAAATTAATGGTTCATTAACATTGGGAGTTTTTTGCTCCTAAAAAAAATAGTTCAGTGGTAAAATTGTCCCAATTAAGAGTATACGATATTCAGTGCTCTTAAAAATAAGAATGTGAGCAAAATTGGACCTTAACCCTTAATATTAATTTAATTAATATTATCACTTAAATATAATTAATATTAACTTCATATAAGATGAGAGATGGTGTTTCCTGGTTGAGTAAATGCCACCTTTGAGCTTTTCATCAATAAATGATAATGTTATTAATATAACACAACAAAATTTGAGAGATGCCACCTCCAAATCTAAGAAATGCCACCTCTCATCTTTTAATTAATATATAATAATATAATTTACTAATTAACATAATTAATAAAAATTACTTTTAAATATTATGGAACTTGAGATATCTTATTTTAAATTATTTTTATAGAAATTGAGAATAGTCACTTGAAGGTTTAAAATTATTAGATGTATAATTATTACTAATTAATGTTACTTTCATAGTTAGTAATATTTATATGTACATTTAATATTTTTATTATTAAAATTATGATTCTTAAGTGGTTTTTTTAAGTGTCACTTTGTTGTATAATAATAATAAGCTATGGCATTTCATGTAAGAAACACCATCTCTTATTGTTTACTAAATTTATAAATAAAAAATAATTCTTAAGTGGTGGCTTTTAAAAAAGGAAATGCTACCTAAGATGTTTTATAGTTTATTTAGTAACATATCATTTTTTAATTGTTATAAAATGTATACTATTAAATCTCATTTTTATAATAGTGCAACTAAACTCCATGCTTTTGAGGATTCTTCTTCCAACATACAAGATGAAGGGAAGCACTCAAATGACCCACCGTCCTATACCCAAGGAAAGAAGGAGATCTACTCACCCTTTGATGTACCTTGACCTCGAGGCTACATCTAGCTAAATACATTAAAAGTACTGCTTATTAAGAAGCAACTTAATCACTACTAAAAAATAAACTAATTTAGCGAGGGACGAATCCCTTGCTAAATGGAAGTTAACAAGGGATTTTGTCCCTCAATAATTTCATTGCAACAAACATGCTTGCTAAATTTAACGGTGAAAGATATTCCCTTGCTAATTTAGTGAAGGATTTAGCCAGGGATTCATTCCCTCATTAAATTTAGTTAACTGGCATATATACTCTCTTTCTTTACTAGTTAAACTGAAATATATTTATAATTATTATATGAGAAATTAAATACATGTTACTTAATTGCACAAATGTATTGAATAATATATTATAAAAATACATTTGTATATTATATTTTATTTTTAATTATTAACATGATAAAAATATTTATATTTATATTTATATGATTCTTTATATTATATTGTTTAATAATATAATATTTTTTAAGGAAAATGAACTCAAAATAAAGAAAATATTAAATATTAAATAATTTTATTATGAATATTTTAGTTAATTTTTATCTTTATTTTTAAATGAAATTATTCAAACATATAATTAAAATTTATTTTTAAAAGTCAATTTTTTTAGTAATTAGCTAGGGATAAAATCCATTACTAATTATCTTATTTTAAAAAAAGATTGACAATCTCTCACTATTTTCTTTACTAATTATCTTATCTAAAAAAGGATGATTGTCCCTCACTATTTTTCTCTTTAATTTAAGATAGAAAGGAATTAACAGTCTCTTACTATTTTTCTTGCTAATTTAAAGTCGAGATACAAAATTAACATCTCTCACTAATTTTCTCGTTAATTTAGCATTTTATAGAGGAATAGAAGATCCTTTGCTAATTTGTATTTTTCTAGTAGTGAATGATTTTTTTTTAATTTTTTGTTTATTTATTTAGTACTTCTTGCATTTTTCTCTTATTTTGGAAAAAAATTTCCCTCCTCTGATTTATCCTATTTGGAATATTTTTCTCTTAGCCTTGATGACTATTTTGATTTGATTACATCTACTTGACTTTGCTTATTTGGATTCTTTTGCCTTTATGACCCTTGCAAGTGATAGTCGCTATCATTCATGCCCATTTGATATTTTTATTTTTAGTGAGCACATGTTTCAATTTTTTGTTTT